ATGCTCCGATGCTCCGATGCTCCGATGCTCCTATGCTCCGATGCTCCTATGCTCCGATGCTCCGATGCTCCGATGCTCCTATGCTCCGATGCTCCTATGCTCCGATGCTCCGATGCTCCGATGCTCCTATGCTCCGATGCTCCGATGCTCCGATGCATTTTTTCTGCACTATTTACCGATTGGCAGATTGTGCTATGCGTTTTAACGATCGTATAATTGCGCGGCAATCTGAAGATTGAGTTCATATTTTAGATTTTTGAAATTCAAAAAAAAAAAGATTCACTTCTATTTTTATTCTTTTAGCTCTACTCACCTCAAGGAACATTCCCGTATTTCAAAAGTGTAAAAATATGAAGATTAGAATTAAAATTAAAATTAACATATGAAACTGAAGAGCTCACTAGAATTATACAATTCCAGGTATCAAACTCAAAGTTCACCAAGTACATTTAATTTATTTTATATTTTTGAATTAATTAAAAAAAAAATTCACTTCCATCTTTATTCTTTTTTTACTCATATCAAAGAACAATCAGTAAAAATATGAATTGAAGAAAAGATATGAAACTGAACAACTCCCAAGAATGATTATAAGATTGATAAAACGTGCAGCGTAATCTTTGATCGGTAAATTGCGCGGGACATATTTCTGAAAAGAAATATTATGTTTAGATGTAAGAGTATGACTCATTGTTCAGTCCACAGGGTCAGCAAGTCTCTTTGTTGAACTTGTCTAAAAGTGATTCTTTTCAAGCCGGAAAAGAATGGCAAGGCAATGCCTCAAACTTTTCTTTTTTGTTAAATGAGATGAAGGAAGAAAAATTGTGTCGATAGTGCCGTAAAACATCTACCCAATCAATCAATCAATGAAGGAAGAGGGCATTAGATCTAGATCATGTTGTGTGAATGTAGAGACACTGAGTAAGTGCAGATAACACTTTGTCAGTGCCTGTTTAAGCAAACAGATATTGTTAGCAAACTGCTGATATTTACTAGGCACAGAAACAAAATTTTGCAGAAGAAAAAAAAAATTGTTTCCCTCTTTAACCTTATCCGTATGTCGTGTTTTACTATCGTATCCGTGCGACGTGGGGAACTCTTTTCAAAGAGGAAATTTACTCGTTAATCCGATTCGTACGCTTTGACAGCAGTCTGTCAGTATAATTTTTTTGAGAAATACTGAAAGTTTCGAAGAGATCTTCATACTAGAAGTATTCTAAAATGTGCAGAATACAATCGGGGGGTACAAAATGACCCCGGGACGTACGGATAGGGTTAACAAATTTTACTTGGGCCCTACGTTATGCATTTTTTTAATCGCTTTTTTTCAACATTCAAAATTTGACTTTCAGCAAAGTACCATTATTTCTTGAGCACATCTAACCAGTACCACAGATGAAGAAATTGTAAGTTTAAAAAGTTCTTCCAAATTTGTGGCCTAGTACATTATACCTTTGTAGTGGATCGTTGGCGGGTTCTCTTGTGTGGTTTGCTCCTTCTTTCCTATTAAAAAATCTATCGTCTCTATCTCCCCTCCTTCTTTTTTGTGTTTGGTACTGTCTTGTAACACCTTTAATCTTCGGCACTTATATGACCTTATTGTGTTGCATGTGCCGTAAAACTTTTACTAAAAGTAGAGTGAAATTTGTGGCCGTGTACTTTGTAGCAGCGGGCACAGGATATATTGGTTTATGGTATACATGAGTAGACTACTATCTCTTATCATTTTCTGTAAGTGCAGACGTGATATTGTCAAGTGCCATTCACCAGCTGTTCAGATGTGACCAATCAGCATTATGTGTTATCGTATGTCCGATGTTTTTGATAAAGTTACCAGTACTGTACATGTGTATGTTTTCTGTGAATGATGGGTGGTTGGCGGGTGCTCTGGTGTGGTTTGCTCCTTCTTTCCTATCAAACATCTATCGTCCTTATCTCTCCTCCTTCTTTTTTGTGTTTGTTACTCTACTGTAACACCTCTAATCTTTGGCACTTATATGACCTTATTGTGTTGCAAGTGCTGTAAAACTCTTACTAAAACTAAACCTTTGTGAATGGCCGGCCAGTACAGCCTGTGGCTGGTCTGTCCTACTTCCCACCGTCCCTTGTGTCGGGGACAGGCCGGCTCTGTGTTGTACAGTTTGCAAAGAAAGCTCACCGTTGCTTTGGTTGTTTTTGCTTTAAGTGAATTAAAGTAAATTTTGCAGGCGGTTGGCGGGTGCTCTGGTGTGTTTTGCTCCTTCTTTCCTATCAAACATCTATCGTCCTTATCTCTCCTTATTCTTTTTTGTGTTTGTTACTCTACTGTAAGACCTCTAATCTTCGACACTTATATGACCTTATTGTGTTGCAAATGCTGTAAAACTCTTACTAAAACTCTTACTAAAACTAAATTTTGCTAGCTTTTTGTTTGTTTTTGTAAAGTGTTTTACGGCGCTCGCAGTTGCATAAGGTCATATGAGCGCGCGGGACACACCTAATATTTTCAGTTGGTAGGAAATTTCGAATTTTGCCCGGGTGGCGGCCAAAGCCTACTCTTATCGATTTTAGACCACCAAGGGATCTTTAACGTGCACAACTTGCACACGGGCCCTCCGAGATTTTTCGCCCTTGTCCGAGAAGGCAAGGTGTAGATCTTTCCTACCAGAAGATCAGGGGTGTGGCAGAAA